TGGCATTCGTCGCATATTCAATGCAGCGTAATTGATATGGGAATGGAACCCATGCAGTAAATTAAAAATAAACATCGAAGACTGCATTCGATATGCCTAAATTGATAATTTCTGAAGGTCAAACAGTAAGGAAACATTGAACAGAAGGAAATATTGAACAAAAAGTAGGCTGACAGTTGTGTAATAAAATTATCATTTTTATACATAATTGTGACAAGTAACATATGTTAAAAATAAATATTAATCATTAATTTGACAGTTGAGAAACAAAATTATCATTTTTATTCTTAATTGTGACAAGTATTATATGTCAAATTGAGTTTAAAAACAAATATTAATCATTAATTTGACAGTTGAGAAACAAAATTATCATTTTTATTCATAATTGTGACAAGTAACATATGTCAAATGAGTTTTAAAAACAAATATTAATCATTAATTTGACAGTTGAGAAACAAAATTATCATTTTTATTCATAATTGTGACAAGTAACATATGTCAAATGAGTTTTAAAAACAAATATTAATCATTAATTTGACATTTGACAGTTGAGAAACAAAATTATCATTTTTATTCATAATTGTGACAAGTAACATATGTTAAAAACAAATATTAATCATTAATTTGACAGTTGAGAAACAAAATTATCATTTTTATTCATAATTGTGACAAGTAACATATGTCAAATTGAGTTTTAAGAACAAATATTAATAAAAAATTTGACAGTTGAGAAACAATATTATCATTTTTATTCATAATTGTGACAAGTATCATATGTCAAACTGAGTTTTAAAAACAAATATTAATCATTAATTTGATAGTTATGAAACAAAATTATTATTTTTATACATAATAGTGACAAGTAACATATGTTAAAAACAAATATTAATCATTAATTTGCTTCATAATTGTGGCAACTTTGTGATAGCATATGTCAAACTGACACTTTAAGAATCAAATATAATTTTTCAAAATTTTGTGACTTGTGACTTCTTACATTAATTATAATTTCAAACAATTGTCATTTGTTTCATAATTGTGACATCTTAAATTAATAATCATGTCAAACAAAATTGTCATTTTTTCATAATTGTGACAACTAACAATATCATATGTCAAACTGACATTTTTTAAAATCAAATATGTTTTTACAACATTTTTTAATAATTTTGACATCTTACATTAATAATAATGTATAATATTGAACCAAAACTAGGCTGTGAATTATATAACAAACATTCTATCTGTCAATTTGACAGTTGTGAAACAAAATTATCATTATTTTTCATAATTGTGTCAACTTACAATATCATATGTCAAACTGACACTTTTAAATATAAAATTTATTGAACACTAGGTTGAGAATTATGTAACAAACATCAAATCTGTCAATTTGACAGTTGTGAAAGAAAATTGTCATTTTTATTTCATTATTGTGACAACTTACAATATCATATATCAAACTAACATTTTTAGAACTCAAATATGTTTTTACAACTTTTTTAATAATTGTGACATCTTACATTAATAATAATGTATAACAATATTGAAACAAAACTAGGCTGTGATTTATATAAGAAATATTATGTCTGTCAAAATTGTCATTATTTTTCATAATTGTGACAACTTACAATATCATATGTCAAACTGACACTTTTAAAAATCAAATTCATTGAACACTGGGTTGAAAATTATGTAACAAACATCAAATCTGTCAATTTGACAGTTGTGAAAGAAAATTGTCATTTTTTCATAATTGTAACAACTTACATACTTACATTTTAAAAAATCAAATATATTTTTACAATCTGTCATTAATAAAAATGAATTGTTTCCAATAGGTACGAAGCTTAAATCATTAATTAATAAAGGATATATCAGAGAAAAATAGATTAACAGTAGAATGACAAAATCTTCATAATTGTGACAACTTCATAAATCATCTGTCAATCTGGCAGTTATAAAAATTCAAATGTGTTAGTATAATACGAATACATCAAAAGATAACTGAATATCATTTAAATATACATTGTCAATATTTTCTTATTAGTATGTAAAAAAATGTGTCAAGGTCAAAAGTAACCTGAAAATATTACTTGTCAATGTGTCAAACTAAAATAAAATATGTAAAAGTTTTTTCCGTGTTTATTCGCTATAATTTAGACGTTGATTTGCGATAAATTTATTGCCAAAGAAAACGAAAACAGCCGTACAAATTTTTCTGTGATCCCTCATTCCTTTTTTTGTTCACTCCTCGAAAACATAATCTAGTAACCAAGTAGCAAATACTTCGTAACGTGTGCATTTTGAACAGACGATAATCGTTACGTTACGAAATATCAGACTTTGTTTTCACTTTGCCGAATGTAATTTAATATTGGATGTACCATTAAGACAATAACAATTTCTCGAATTATCCAACACGTGATACATATATGATATCAAAACGATTCGATTGAATGCAAATATTTTTATAGTTTCCGGCGGAAATAGAATTTATTTGCAAAATTAAAAAAAAAAAATCACAATGAACCAAATAAATTTTTTATTGCAATATATTGAGACTGTAAGCAGTTATGACCTTGACAAGGTGAAGAAAAGAAAAACAATTTCCAAAAATTTAATTGCGATGTTCAGATTGCGTTGACGCAAACGTAATTAAATAACGTGCGATTATTTTTTTTTATTTAAAGAGATTTTGATAGCCAACGCAAATTTACGTAATAATAATTTGGACTATATTTGCGTTACAATTTAATTCATAATCAACTGAAAATGTACTGAAAAAGTTATGGTGATTTCAAATTTTACAGAATAACTTGTAAACTTGTAGGTCCGTTACTACTTAGGGAAAGGACATGTGAAAGGCACTTATAATTTTCTATAACAAAAAATAAACTTGAATAATATTTACATTTAGTCAAAATTATGGATTTTACATAATAATATGCAGTATCAGCATATCGAAATACGGGTCTATATCGAAATCTCGACGTTCGAAATCCCGACTGTATCAAAATCCCGACAATGGGGATTTCGATTGCCACTGCGAAAATACCACTATAATTTTCTTACTTTCGTTACGTTCAGAATGTTTGCTATAGATTAGTATTAATGTAGATTATATTTATACAATTTTGATGAAATTGGATTTGCAATTATTGTCCAAGAATTGTGCATTTCGTGTGTATACTTAAGGCATGGAAATGTATGCCAAATACTGAAGGAGTACTCAACTAATGAACACAGTTGTCAATAAATAGTTGTGATAAATGAACTATTACAAAGAGGAATTACATTTACGTTAATCGAAATGGAATTACGTAATTGTCCATTAGACAAAATGGTTTTAATGCAAACTACGAACTTTAGACAACATTAATTTATTCACAAAGTGTGATATCCTTTGTTAATTGTCGTCTATTAAAAAAATAAAAGTTGAATAAAAAATATACCAGTATCATTGTTTAATTCTTTGAGGGAAGGTCATGGAAGGAGGTCAGGAATTTCTAGACCCAACAACTACGTCAACCAAGATTCATCCTTTGACATACCATCGAAATTAAAGTATTATTCCTGGACATTTCCTAGGAAATTATAATAATGTCCCACTAAACATATTCAAAAGGTGGGACAAATGCGTGTCCCAGTGTCCAAAAATTAGTAATTGATGACAAAATAACTTAAAATCGTTGATGTCAAGATGTTTCTCTGCACTAATGATAATTTAAAAAAAAAATATGATTATTTTAGTTATCAAAGTTACATATTTATTTGTTTAATTCAAAATAAAATAATTATTCATACAAAACAAATAGTCAGTAGATTCGAGTTACAAATTTATATAATTGCTTCATTAAATATTTGCTTATCGTCAAGTTACGTCCTTGTTTTGTTTAAAAAATTGAAACGATATACATACAAAAAACTAGAATACTGTTATTTCTTGAATATATTTTGCAATCAGTAAATATTAATAGTACCTATGATCATTTTAAAAACAAATATAGTAAAAATGTTGTTGTTGCTTCCGTAAATTCATATAACATTGATAACTTTCCGTGTCTTTCATTAAATTATCGTATCATCTTAATGTCTAATTTAATACAATGCAAGTCGTGCGGTTTAAATCGTTTTAACCTTTGCATTGTTATCTAATTACGAAAACATTTGTATGCGAATCAAGACTATTTTTGTATTTTCTTGAAATAATCTTTCGAACTGAAAATGTTGCTGTCTCTCAAAATTCATACGTTATGTTGATTGAAATAGACCTGATTTGTTATTAATAATAAAACAAATATACACAATATGAAAAGTGTATAGTTGATGTTGTAATAACAAATATTGGTTACATTTCGTTTAAATTGAAATATTGTGAAATTATTTGGTTAATTAAATTTTGTCTTATTTAGTCATAGATGAATTTGGCCTTTGTTAAAATTGAAGCCTAACATGTAAAAAATAAGGTTGTAATAGGTGTAGTTTCCAATTTAGTTAACAAATAGGGATGTGTGGGCTCCAAAGGGCACGTGCCGTTTGTCACGTTTAATTAGTGTGCTAAATCAATAATTCAAAGTGGAGGTGCTTTCCGAGTGACATAAGGTCTGAAGCGAGGAAAACCAGTCGACGTTTCCCATAATCAATATTTCGTGGAAAAACGGAAACACACCATGGAGTCGTACTGGACTGCACGTTGCCAACTTGATGGATTCTGTGGGAAAGAATTGCGTAAGGTTCAGTCGATCGTACGATGCGATGCGTTCTTTTCTTTGTGTTCGCTTTTTTTTTGGTAACGGTTCCCGCGGCTGTGGTCTGACAAAGTGAAAGAGGAGGAAGATACGTATGCTTGGGTGCGAGTGAAAAGAACGATCAGGCTGGGATCACGCCACGGAGGTAGGCCAATTCAAGAGAGCCGACGATCGCGAAAAGGATCGCGTGATGATGGACATGCGTCCTGCAGAAGTCGGTGCGGAGCGCCGCGGCGGCCGTCCACCATACGATTCCCAACTTCTTCTCCGAACTTCGTCGGGAGGCAAGTGCACACCGCGGCTCCGCGTCTCCAACTGATACAGATTCCTATCAGCGAGGTTCTGCCGTCGACGTCGTAGTCGTAGTCGTCGTCATCGTGCACTTTGCACCCTATCCCAATCCAAGCTCGGATTCTCCTCTGCTGGAGGTGGCGGCGTCGGTGCATCGTCGCGAATATAAAAGCTACCGCATCCCACTACCATCGTTCAGTTTGTTCAGCTGTTCTGACGCGGTCAAGTTCGTCGATAGTAACAACGACCATATCATCACAACCGATGCAATTACCCCATTAAACAACAAAATCAACACACGATCATTACCGTAAAGTTATCCAGTGGAACTTCTGATATACATCCACTTCTTGGAATACAACCAACGTGAGTACAACCAAATAGATCACTTTTTGCAAATTGTTTTAACCCACTTATTCTTTAATAAAACAAAAACCTACTTTCTTCCTTGAACATCAAATTTATTTAACTTTAGTAGACTTTTACTAAATTAATTAAAATCACAATATTCCTTAAGATCATCTCAATTCAAACTTTTTAATACACCCACATTAATCAATATCAACATGACAGTTATCCCTTAATATCACTCAATCCTCATCCCCTTCATCAATTGTATTTAGACAACTTCAATATTCTTAAATTTCGTGGCGTGACAATTACATAATCGTTTACAAATTAATATCAAATGAATGCATAACATTTATATTCCACAAATATCATTTTAAATCTTAACATTCTCTTTTATATTATTAAATCAAGCGCGAATTAATGCATGTTCATTTTTCTTTCTTACATAAACAAAACCTCTTTGATTAATCAATATCAATTCATTTGCATTTTACTTTTACCTTGCGAACATTTTATATTTTATTTCATTCTTTATATAATCGCACACTTTACATATCCTCGAACTGCATTAACTTAATCACAATAATTACTATAATTTTCATTAATTACCTTTTTTTTAATAACCAATTGTCTAATGTGTCAAAAAAAATATCACCTGATGGACGCCGCCCGGCTTTTTTTTGAATAACACTAAATTTTATAGCACAACGAATATTCTAGTTACATAACAATTGAAAGTATTACTTCGAGATGTATTTATTACAATAGTGATTAATAATGATTTGTTCTGTAATATCTATGAATGAATCAATACATTCTTAAATAAATTAACTGCAACTCTATCTATGTAGCCAAGGTTTTTCCCGATAAATTATGCATAGAGAAAATCTCAATCACAATTGATTTGTAGACGTAATTCATGCAATGCACGGACTTAATTGATCAATATGAACACAATTGACTTATCTCAATTGGAAACTTGCCAACTAATTATCCTGATATAAATACACAATTTGCACTCATTATTTAATGATGCCTTTGATCCACTTAATTAAAGTTCTCTATTAATTATCACATTTAACAACAAATGTTATTGCATGCAAATAAATATAATAATAATGTTTATTTATAAAACATTCGAAATTGAAAATAAGTTTTATCAATGTTTTTTTTTTTGGTTCAAATTTCATGTTTTGTATGCATATTTATATTAAAATTCACCGATAATTCTTGAAATACACACAGATAAAACATTAACTACATTTAATAAAATATAAATTACTTTTCTTTTATCGTTGAAAATATAAGCTTTATATCTTCGCAAATGTAAATGCAAATGATACATTTTTTGTGGAAATACATTTCCTGAAATGATGCAAGTATTTTTATAATGATGTTCGTTTTAATTGCAGCTCCTTTAATGGAGCAGTGAAGTGTGCTGCGACGGAAATGCATGTATTATTATTTTTTCTCTTATACTTTTCTTCCTCTACCATTTTTTTTTGCTACAACGTCATAATAACGCACTTGACATATGAAAAACGTGAGGGTTGATGGGTTTTGTGTCCTTAGAAACGAAAAGTCACCTTTCGAAAGATCAAAGGTTTTCGGAGCCGAATATTATTAAATATGGAAGAACTTTCTAACATACTTATTTTAGAAATCCAATTGTTAAATATTTATCTTTACGAGTAAATATACCACGTAAATAAATATTATAATAGAATATGATTGTAGGTATTTTATTAACTATTAATAGTACAGCAATGAATACTTGATTCGTCAATAGCATTAATCATCTAATATAATTATGATGTATGAATTGTTTATAAATATTATGTAACAATTTTACTTTTTGCCTTTCATTATCAAATCAATGTACAGTGGAACCTCGGTTAACGAGTTTAATTCCTTCCAAAATTTTCGGATTTTTACTCGTATAGTGAAACATATTCACATAACAAGAGTACAAAAGTTTGAAAAATGATCTCTTCTCGTCGTCATTCGTTATGGGAAACATCGCTCATTTTTCTTACAATTTTTTCTTATTTTTTCATCTTATTCGTTAAGCGAGGTTCCACTGTATTTATATTTCACATTTTACAAAAGTTAAGCAACATGTGGCTCTGATAATACTGGGATAGATGACGATTTTCAAAAGACGGACAATAGTAATAAGTTATAGAAAGTTCATAATAAATTCAAATATCCTTTTCTTTTTTCATAAAATTAATCATTTTGCAATATTTGTACACAGATTACGTAATTTATTCTAAAATTTCTATAATTTTGAACATACAAACAAAGCAGTTATTTAACAAAATCGGCGGCTTTCTAGTCACTTTTGATATGATTTACTCTTTCATTATAAAAAAAAGATGTTATTCATTAACAAGGAGTAACATTCGTTATACATAAAACATGATTTTAATAAGGAGAATTATTTAATGTCATAATTAAGTATTCTATAATTTTGAACATACAAACAAAGCAGTTATTTAAGAAAATCGGCGACTTTCTAGTCACATTTGATATGATTTACTCTCTCATTATAAAAAAAAGATGTTATTCATTAACAAGCAGTAATATTCGTTATACATAAAACATGAATTTCTTAAGGGCGATTTTAATGAGGAGAATTATTTAATGTAATAATTGCGTGTTTGAAAAGCTTAAAGGGGTTCGGAACAGGATATATCATTTTCAATGTTAGTCTATTCTTGCATTCGGAAGGTCCATGACACATAAAATTCGATATTGCGATTCGTTTTCATGCGGGTAATGATACCAGAAGTGCACAACAGTTACGAAATAATACAACGTACATAATCAGGATATCGTTTAGCAACTTTCTACGACAAATAAATCGTTTTAATGAGAACTCTTCGATAATACAGTTTAATGATTACATAATACAAGGAAATAGATATTTCGTTTAAATAACTATTATAATATTTGATTTAGAAAAATTTTAATACTTAAATTGAGACGATTCTTATTGTAAGGAGTTGAATTCGTTCGAATTTGCTCTACTTTAGTGGAATTCACGCCTCGTCGGTTAAGGAGCAATAATAATGTGGCACGTTTAATTAAATTGTTTTCTACGTAAAAAAAAAGAAACGAACGGTGTCGATGGATTTATCGGATCGGAGCGATTAAATTGGATTAGAGGTAGACGAAATTAACGGAGAAAATAGCATGGACCCCTGCATACGTGTGCAAATGCGAAATGGGTTCAGCAAACTTGACCCGAAAAAAAGAAAGCAAGAGAAAGAGAGAGAGCGAAAAGCTGTAAGGATGTTGATGATGATGGTACTAAAAGTAGCGGAGAGACTGGGTCGCGCCAAGGACGAGCGTCGCGAATTTCGTCCTTACGACCGACGATCGAATTACGCTGTTTATTTTTCCAACTTTCCGTACGCAAAGTGCGTGAAAGAAAATTCGTCATAGATTTGGAATTCATTTTTTCGGAATGATGTAGATGTGCTTATGGATTTGTTCCTGTGGTTTGTGTATGTGTTTTTTTTTTAAATAAAAAGACACGCCCTGAAATTTATCGATTCCCTTCGCCCGACGCGGCCCTCCGCTAAATTCATGGAACCCAATTACAACAAACCACTGCAAAATGCCGCAAATAAAGACCGCAACGTTTGGGTTATTGCCTAAATCAAGTTTACAGTAAATTGACTTAAAGTCATTATCAATTAATAACTGTTACTTACTTAATCCAACTACGTTTAAGTTATATAATACCCAATTCTATTATACTTGTAATAATTTTGTTTGATCCAAGCAGGCGTGTATATCTATAGTGACATGCGCTGAAAAAACAAAAACAAAAGTTAAGACGTTTCTTTTTCGTAAATCTTATTGCATTTCTGTTTGTTGCTTCTTTTCAGAATGGCACCAAATATCTCTTCAGTACCTACTGGGGTTTTGCACGAAACCGACGATGAAGTCTTGGCCACGCACGTTCCGCCTCAGCTCCATAAGCCCGAGGAGAGGAAGATGCAACTGGTATGGAGGAACATCATCCTCTTCGTCTATCTCCATCTTGGCGCTCTCTACGGCATCTACCTTCTGTTCACCGGAGCCAGCATATTCACTTTCTTCTGGGGTAAGTTCACACGAAAACCTGAAACTTTTAATATACTTAATACCACTTGATATAACTAACATTTTACCTGATTCCAATAATGATGCTCGACACCTAAAAAAACAAATGATTAGTTACGTCAATACCAATTTAAAAAAAAGTTATACATAGAAATAATGATGTTTTGGCAAAGAAAATCACTGCAACTTTTCAAAATTAAATAATTAAAATTATGCGCGTAAATTAAAATCACATTAAGTTGTATGTAAATGTATTTATAAACAGCGGTTGCAAAAGTTTAGTGACTTTAGTATTGTGTTATCGATTTTCTGTATAGAGGGTGGCATAGGGAATAATGTTGTTTGAAATAATGCCATCTGTCAGAGTTGATTTCAATTTAGGAAATAACATACTTTATTGTTTCTGTTACAATACAAATACATGTTATTTATGTTTCTTGTACTTTGTACTTTTATGAATACAAATTACTTGGTATGAATAATAAATAATAAAGTGATAGTGATAATTGAAAGGAATATTACTTTTATCGCAGGAAATCGCATTGATCTCACGTTCATTTGAACGCAATAAAGATAGTTATTGAAATGATTGATAAGTTTACTATTGTAATTAGGTTTTATCGATAGATTTTCTTTTTAGTGAATTTAACTGAAAATTAAATAAACTATAGATTAGTTATTAATATTTCGTGATATGGATGGGAAAATGTTGTGTATAATGGGATGGGTTAGTAACACGGCGACCTTCCGACCTATTCCACGTAATTTAGTGCAGTCATCGAGCTGATGATAACAGGGCGTACTTGATTAGATAACCGCACTGGATAAAACGATCTCCGATACCGATGTACTTAAGACGGGGCACTCTGCTAATTATAGTCGAACTTGACATTGTAAATTGGGATTCTTATATGTACAAGGGATGCGATAATTGAGAGTGAAGGGATGATGTCTGCAAGAAGTTTGTTTACTGATCGACTCTGTGTGGTGGTTTTGGCTAGGGTTCGAATCTCAACCTCCAAACAGTGTTGATCAGCGTAACACATGGGTCACCGCTGGAAAGCATAAGGATTGTTGTGGCATGTTTTCGATGTACGTGCGATCCACCTAAATTTATTTGTTTTGTTCGCTTGATTCGATGAAGAGAGAAAGATTCCTTTATGATTTGCGGAAAATCTTCCGTGCAATTGAAGGTTTCCTGTCGTATGATCATCCTCTCCTGGATTGATTAATTGGCATGTGCTCATCATGCACAAAGAGAGCGAGAGCGGATCTGAGAACACGAACGAACGACCGGTCCAATTTTGAGGATGGCCGAATGGCGTGGTCAGGGATCACGCCATGCGCGTGCCGCGGCTCGTGAGTTCGCCAAGTTCAAACATCAGGCGATAAACTCTGGGACATTTCGCTTTATTTGATTTGCACGATGATCTTGCACTTATAACTGATGTTTTTCTTTTTCTTTTTGCTTTGCAGCGATGTTTTTGTACCAATGCGGTGGATTGGGAATCACTGCTGGAGCACATAGGCTCTGGGCCCACAAATCGTACAAGGCCAAGTGGCCGCTGAGGGCATTGCTGACGTTCTTCAACACTTTGGCTTTCCAGGTAAGAAGACGATTGTGAAAGGGGTTTTAAAGGATTATGCTTATTTCTTGTCGTTTGCAGGATGCCGTCGTTGATTGGGCGAGAGATCACAGGATGCATCATAAGTACAGTGAAACCGATGCCGATCCGCACAACGCCAAACGCGGCTTCTTCTTCGCTCACGTCGGCTGGTTGCTCTGCCGCAAGCATCCCGAGGTCAAGCAGAAGGGCAAGAACATCGACCTCTCTGACCTCTACGATGACCCGATCCTGCGTTTCCAGAAGAAGCACTACCTGATCCTGATGCCGCTCGTCTCCTTCGTCATGCCCACCGCTGTACCGATGATCCTCTGGAACGAGACCTTCCTCAACGCCTTCATGGTCAACCTGTTCAGATACACCTTGACTTTGAACGCCACCTGGCTGGTCAACTCGGCCGCCCACATCTTCGGAGATAAACCATACGACAGGTAAATATTGCATTTGATAAAACATTTCAAATTTTTTCAATTACTAAAGACCAGTTTTCATTTTAATACATCCGATGTCTTTCTAACACCATTAACTCTTTTCTTTGTTAAAACGCACTCGATTTCGCGCTCTGCGTATTCGTGTATTTCGCGAATGCGGAGGTTTCTAATCATCATTCATCTTTAATTGGTTACAACTTTCTTCTTCGCCGCGAAATTTCCATTTTACAAATTTCCTTTTTTTTTTCTTCTTTCGATCGATCCGCATTAATTCTCTAAACAATCGCCGCTGCAATTATCATAATTAGCGCTTGAGCTGTGCGCTTCATTAAATATGCACACTTTTTGTTTTAATTGGATGAATAACAATGCTAATGAGAATGCGAGCTCTAATAATCGATTGTGTAACAATCGAACGGCGAGTGCGCGCTCCGATCTCAAGGCCAAATTGCGGTATAATTACAATATTAGTATTATCATTTTATTATATTTTTTTTGTTGTCTTCTTTGCAGGTTTATCAATCCTTCTGAAAACATTTCCGTTTCCATTCTCGCCATGGGCGAGGGCTGGCACAACTACCATCACACCTTCCCATGGGACTACAAGACCTCCGAGCTGGGAAAATACACCACGAACTTCACAGCCGCTTTCATCGATTTCATGGCCAAGATCGGACAGGCTTACGATCTGAAGAGCGTCAGCACCGAATTGATCAGGAAGAGGGTGCAGAGAACCGGCGACGGCACCCACGAGCTGTGGGGATGGGGCGACAAGGATCAGGATAAGGAGGAAGTGCGCGACGCCATCATCACACACAAAAAGGACGCATAAGGTTCCGCACCAGAATATCCTTGCCACCCACTTTGTCTCTCTACGTTTTTTTATTTCCTTTTCTTTTTTGCCATAGATTTATATACATAATTATATATATATTAAAAGAGAAGAGAAGAAAAAAAGAATATTCGTATTTTGTATATAAGAATATATATATATATTAGATGTAAGATGATATAAGAGAAACGTAAAGAAGTGGACACTATATTTGTTACTTACTAATAACTATTTGTTCTGTGCACACAAGTAGGAACGTACTCTAATTATTGAGGAGATGAAGATTTATTTTTATGATTATCGTTTACACACTCACCACGTTGTTTAACTATATATATATATATGTATAATATTATGAAAAACAAATGAAAACGAAAATAAAATTATCTTTTCTATATACCACACTAAATAGTCATATAGTTTAATTTTTCATTTATTTCTTTTTTTCTTAATTTTCCCAGATTAAAAAGCAATATTATAATTCGCATAGAAAATAGTTAATAAGAAATCAAAAACCTAAACTTTAGGTCAAAATTTTCGATTTACTATCTACGGTTTTTGTTACCATATTGAGAATCGGATTGGTTTCTCATTTTTTCACTTGTGTAAAAGGTTTTGAAGAACGTTGACTTAGTTTACATCAATTTGGCTCATCGAAGTTGGCGCAAGTCAGAATAATTATAAAGCTTAATTATTGCCCATAAATAAATTATTGTAGATTCCACCTACTCATTACGTTTGTTCTGAAAAAAGAAGCATAAAATTAATAGCAAGAAAATCAAATCATCGAGAAAAATTCACCTTTTTCAAACACGAATCGACTTCTTCTCCAATGTTAAGAGAAGCAGCTGCCACGATCCATGCAACTCTTCCAACCGTTGCTGGATTTTCGCAGAATGACTGTGATTCTGTTGAATCAACTGCTTACCCATGTTATCCAAAACGACAATGGAATTGCTGCAACTTTCGAAATCCTTTTGCTTCTTCTCATTCAAATAGACTGTTTTCTCTTTATAGTAATCATCCGAAGATAAGACTCGAAGAAAATTGAAGATAATCACCTCAAGCTCTCCAGCATCTCGTTGGAAACGTTGAAATTGCAAATACTGCTCAATATTCTGATTCTCATTCTTTGCGTCTGCTTTCTGCTGGGTGTTTTTTCCTTTTAAATCAACAAATTTGAACTGCGACTGTGGGCTTTTGCTTTCGTCCATGATCGTGATGAATTATGGCAATAAAGAGCCAAAAAAACAAAGTAGATGTATTGTTTGCACTTGAAACATCCAAAATCTTCTGACAATTTTATGTAGCTGCTGTGTAATTATATACTGATATTTTCTTTAAACAATTTACGTTAACTCTATTACATTGTTGTTTTAATTGGAAAGTAATAATTAGTTTTTTAAATATTGACTGAGTGCTTTAAAACTCATTTGTGCTTTAATTAATTACATAAACACAAAATTTTAAATATTATGAACAAAAGTAATTAACAAAGTTATGGTTAGGGCATATTTTTTGATACATATAGCAAATGTAAATTCATCTCTTGTAAAGCCTCGAAATATTTCTTTGTAAGAGAAATGTTAAAAATCAATCTCAAATAACAAATATAAACAAAAGTTTATGGCAATATTTGGTAAACTGATGATAAGAAAATATAATTAAGATGTTAACAATATGCAAAGTGTTTGATCTTTGTAAGAAATGTTAATAGAATTATATTTTGGCATCATTATGAGCATCAACATTGATCTTCAATTGATACATAATTGCAAAGAATGATCTTCAATGTTATGAGAGAAAAAAAAACAACAAATTATGTTCTCTTCTGTGTATTTCGTTAAGTTTATTTTCATTAACATTGTTAACATACATCTTATGTCATGTAATTTTAATATTACTGGATTCCTTAAACTCTAGGTCAAAATTTTCGATTTACTATCTACGGTTTTTGTTACCATATTAAGAATCGGATTGGTTTCTCATTCTTTGACTTGTGTAAAAGGTTTTGAAGAACGTTGACTTAGATTACATCAGTTTGGCTCATTGAAGTTGGCGCAAGTCAGAAAAATTATAAAACTTAATTACGTTTGTCCTGAAAAAAAAAAACATAAAGTAAACAGCAAGAAAATCAAATCAGCGAGAAAAGGTCACCTCTTTCAAGCAAGAAAAAATACGTACCTTCCGTTTAACGTCAACACCACCGACTTTCTCCTTCTTCTTGAATTTTAAGAGAAGCACCTGCCACGACCCATGCAACACTTCCAACCGTTCCTGGATGTCTGCAGACTGACTGTGATTCTGTTGAATTAACTGCTTACCCATGTTATCCACAACGACAATGGAATTGCTGCAACTTTCGAAATCCTTCTGCTTCTTCTCGACTGTTTTCTTTTTATAGAAATCATCCGAAGATGAGACTCGGAGCAAATTCAAGACAGTCACCTCGAGCTCTCCGGCCTCTCGTTGGAAACGTTGAAATTGCAAACACTGCTCAAGATTCTGATGCTCATTCTTTACGTCTGCTTTCTGCTGGGTGTTTTCGTCCATAATCGTAATAAATTCTGGCAATAAATTCTAGATTAATGTTAGCACTGAAAATATCCAAAATCTTCTGACAATTTTATGTAGCTGCTGTGTAATTATATACTGATATTTTCTTTAAACAATTTAGGTTAACTCGATTACATTCGGTTGTCTTAATTGGAAAGTGATAATTAGTTTTTTAAATATTGTCTGAGTACTTTAAAAATCAATTGTGCTTTCATTAATTATATAAACACAACATTTTAAATATTATGAACAAAAGTAAATAACAAAGTTATGGTCAGGACATATTTTTTGACACTTCCAGTAAATGTAAATTCATCTCTTGCAATTATATTTTGGCATCGTAATGAGCTTCAACATTGATCTTCAATTGATATTAACATTTATTGCAATAACCATATAATCAGATACATAATAGCAAAGAATGATTTTCAATGTTATGAGATAAAAAAAAACAACAAATTATGAACTCTTCTGTGTATTTCGTTAAGTTTATTTTCATTAGCATTGTTAACATACATCTTATGTCATGTAATTTTAATACTACTGGATTCCTTTGGAAATTCTTGAGTTATAACAATTTTTAATAAATAAATTATGTTTGTAGTACAGTTTGGACAACAGCAACAGCATTGTGAATGGAAATAGCGGATCCTTCAATCATAGTTGATTTCCATGATATCTTTACAATATCTGATGTGTTTCTCCAGAAGTAACTCGCCACGAAGCTTCGACTCATTGGCACTCAGAAAGGAGAGAAAATTATTCCACATGACCTTCAAATCCTTCAGCTGAATCTCGATGGCCGCCGATCCCGGATGATTCTTGTTTTGGAAAATGTATTGTTTCACTTTGAATCTGGACCATTATTTTTTTTTGTTACTTACTAATAACTATTTGTTCTGTGCACGCAAGTAGGAACGTACTCTAATTATTGAGGAGATGAAGATTTATTTTTATGATTATCGTTTACACACTCACCACGTTGTTTAACTATATATATATATTATTATACATATATATGAAAACTAAATGAAAACGAAAATAAAATTATCTTTTTTATATACCACACTAAATAGTCATATAGTTTAATTTTTCTTTTATTTTTTTTTTATTTTCCCAGATTAAAAAGTAATATTATAATTCGCATACAAAATAGTTAATAAGAAATCAAAAACCTAAACTTTAGGTCAAAATTTTCGATTTACTTTCTATGGTTCCTGTTAACATGTGTAAAAGGTTTTGAAGAACGTTGACTTAGATTACATCAATTTGACTCATCGAAGTTGGCGCAAGTCAGAAAAATTATAAAGCTTAATTACGTTTGTCCTGAAAAAAAGAAGCATAAAATTAACAGCAAGAAAATCAAATCAGCGACAAAAGGTCACCTCTTTCAAGCACGAAAAAAACGTACCTTCCGTTTAACGTCAACACCACCGAGTTTCTCATTCTCGAAATTTGATAGAAGCAGCTGCCAAAACTCATGCAAGTCTTCCAATCGTTTCTGAATATTTTCAGACTGTCTGTGATTCTGTTGAATCAACTGCTTACCCATGTTATCCAAAAGGACAATGGAATTGCTGCAACTTTCGAAATCCTTTTGCTTCTTCTCGACTGTTTTCTTTTTACAGAAATCATCCGAAGATGAGACTCTGAGCAAATTCAAGACAATCTTCTCGACCTCTCTGGCCTCTTGTTGGAAACGTTGAAATTCCAAACACTGCTCAAAATTCTGATGCTCATTCTTTACGTCTGCTTTCTGCTGGGTGTTTTTTTCTTTTAAATCAACAAATTCTAACTGCGACTGTGGGCTTTTGCTTTCCTCCATGATTGTGATGAATTATAGCAATAAAGAGCCAAAAAAACAAAGTAGATGTAATGTTAGCACTTGAAACATCCAAAATCTTCTGACAATTTTATGTAGCTGCTGTGTAATTATATACTGATATTTTCTTTAAACAATTTACGTTAACTCTATTACATATAGTTGTTTTAATTGGAAAGTAATAATTAGTTTTTTAAATATTGACTGAGTGCTTTAATTAATTACATAAACACAAAATTTTAAATATTATGAACAAAAGTAATTAACAAAGTTATGGTCAGGGCATATTTTTTGACACTTCTAGTATACATATAGCAAATGTAAATTCATCTCTTGCAAAGCCCCAAAACATTTCTTTGTAAGAGAAATATTAAAAATCAATTTCAAATAACAAATATAAACAAAAGTTTATGGCAATATTTGGTAAACTGATGATAAGAATAATATAATTAAGATATTAACAATATGCAAAGTGTTTTGATCTTTGTAAGAAATGACAATAGAATTATATTTTGGCAACGTTATGAGCATCAACATTGATCTTCAATTTATATTAACACTTATTGCAATAACCATATTATCAGATACATAATTGCAAAGAATGATCTTCAATGTTATGAGAGAAAAAAAACAACAAATTATGTTGTCTTCTTTGTATTTCGTTAAGTTTATTTTCATTAACATTGTTAACATACATCTTATGTCATGTAATTTTAATTTTAATACTACAGGATTCTCTAAACTTTAGATCAACATTTTCGATTTTCTATCTACGGTTTTTGTTACCATATTAAGAATCGGATTGGTTTCTCATTTTTTCACTTGTGTAAATGGTTTTGAATAACGTTGACTTAGATTACATCAGTTTGGCTCATCCAAGTTGGCGCAAGTCAGAAAAATTATAAAGCTTAATTATTGCCCATAAATAAATGTATGTAAATTCCACCTACGCATTACGTTTGTCCTGAAAAAAAGAAGCATAAAGTTAACAGCAAGAAAATCAAATCTGCGAGAAAAAATCACCTCTTTCAAGCACAAACCGACTTTCTGCCACGACCTATGCAACACATCCAATCGTTTCTGAATGTTCGCACAATGACTGTGATACTGTTGAAGCAACTGCTTACCCCTGTTATCCAAAACGACAATGGAATTGCTGCAACTTTCGAAATCATTTTGCTTCTCATTCAAATGGACTGTTTTCTTTATACAGTAATCATCCGAAAATGAGACTACAAGCAAATTGAACATAATCATCTCGAGCTCTCCAGCCTCTCGTTGGAAACGTTGAAATTGCAAACACTGCTCAAGATTCTGATGCTCATTATTTACGTCTGCTTTCTGCTGGGTGTTTTTTCCTTTTAAATCAACAAATTTGAACTGCGACTGTGGGCTTTTGCTTTCGTTCATAATCGTAATGAATTCTGGCAATAAAGAGCCAACAAAAGAAAGTAGCTAATGTTAGCACTTGAAATACCCAAAATCTTGTGACTATTTTATCTAGCTGCTGTGTAATTATATACTGATATTTTCTTTAAACAATTTACGTTAACTCTATTACATATCGTTGTTTTAATTGGAAAGTAATAATTAGTTTTTTAAATATTGACTGATTGCTTTAAAACTCATTTGTGCTTTAATTAATTACATAAACACAAAATTTTAAATATTATGAACAAAAGTAATTAACAAAGTTATGGTTAGGGCATATTTTTTGACACTTCTAGTAGACATATAGCAAATGTAAATTCATCTCTTGCAAAGCCTCAAAACATTTCTTTGCAAGAGAAATGTTAAAAATCAATCTCAAATAACATATATAAACAAAAGTTTATGGCAATATTTGGTAAACTGAATAAGAATAATATGATTAAGATATTAACAATATGCAAAGTGTTTTGATCTTTGTAAGAAATGATAATAGAATTATATTTTGGCAACGTTATGAGCATCAACATTGATCTTCAATTGATATTAACATTTATTCTAATAACCATATAATCAGATACATAATTGCAAAGAATGATCTTCAATGTAATGAGAGAAAAAAACAACAAATTATGTTCTCTTATGTGTAATGAATGAATAAAAACCAAATGAAAACAAAAATAAAATTATCTTTTCTATATATCTTTTCTAAATAGTCATATAGTTTAATTTTTCTTTTATTATTTTTTTTTTAATTTTCCCAGATTAAAAAGCAATATTACAATTCGCATACAAAATAGTTAATAAGAAATCACAAACCTAAACTTTAGGTCAAAATTTTCGATTTACTTTCTATGGTTCCTGTTAACATATTAATAATGGGATTGGTTTATCATTTTTTCACATGTGTAAAAGGTTTTGAAGAACGTTGACTTAGATTACATCAGTTTGACTCATCGAAGTTGGTGCAAGTCAGAAATATTATAAAACTTAATTACGTTTGTCCTGAAAAAAGAAACATAAAGTTAACAGCAAGAAAATCAAATCAGCGAGAAAAAGTCACCTCTTTCAAGCACGAAAAATACGTACCTTCTGATTAACGTCAACACCACCAACTTTCTCATTCTCGAAATTTGATAGAAGCAGCTGCCAAAACCCATGCAACTCCTCCAACCGTTCCTGGATGTTCGCAGACTGACTGTGATTCTCTTGAATCAACTGCTTACCCATGTTATCCAAAAGGACAATGGAATTGCTGCAACTTTCGAAATCCTTTTGCTTCTTCTCGACTGTTTTCTTTTTACAGTAATCATCCGAAGATGAGACTCGGAGCAAATTCAAGACAATCTTCTCGAGCTCTGCGGCCTCTCGTTGGAATTGCAAACACTGCTCAATATTCTGATTCTCATTCTTTACGTCTGCTTTCTGCTGGGTGTTTTCGTCCACAATCGTAATGATTTCTGGCAATAAAGAGCCCAAAAAAGAAAGTAGATTAATGTTAGCACTTGAAATACCCAAAATCTTCTGACAATTTTATCTAGCTGCTGTGTAATAATATACTGATATTTTCTTTAAACAATTTACGTTAACTCACTCAGCGAGGAGAGCAAATTATTCCACTTGACCATCAAATCATTCAGCTGAGTCTCGATGGCCGCCGATCCCGGATGATTCTTGGCAATCATCTCCTTACCGATAAAACGCAAAGCGGTAATATCTTTGCTGCGATTGACCAATTCGATGTTGAACATTGCATCTCTCTTTTCATTCTCCGAATCCACCGTCTTCTCGACGATCCACGACTCGACCTCTTCGGCTTCGTGCATGAAAAACTTTAATGTACACGCATTTTTATAATCGATCTTAGCCTGTAATCGCCGGACCCGCGAAGAAATTATACCCATGTCCGAATACTTCAACGGTTGTACACGAAATGCGCAATTTAAACACTTTACCTCTTTTTATATGTAATTTTGTTAAGTAAATACATTTCATTAACAAAACTAATTAGGCGTTTATTTAAATATTTATATACTAGATTATATTTTCTTCCACCTTCAGTTTTAAGAGCAGCTTTTATATTTGTTATTGTAGAAAAATGGAGAACTATTATTAGTAAAAGTATACTTCTCCGCAGATTTCTTGGAAATAGCCTCTTCAATTCCTCGCCGAGAAAAGTTTCCGCGATTTCGACAATATCAACGTTCTCCAACGGTCGATTCTCTAAGTTTTGATTCTTTATAATTTCCATCACTTCTCTGCAATTTCTGATGTACTTCATTTGGAGAAAGCCCTCCGGGAGCCTCGACCTTACAGTCAACTTGAAGAGTAAATATGATCAAATGATTCGCATTTCCACTCGATTTTCGAAGATTTCCAATAATCATCCTGTTACCGATATAATACAAAGCGATCATTTCTTTTGTACGAGCGGCCAATTCGGAATCGAAAGCTCACGTTCTTCCCCGAAAAGGTTTTCTTCAAGATCCACGACTCGAGCTCATCGTCATGAGACCATGAAAAACTCGTATATGTAATCATCTCCAATCTGCTGAAGTGTTGTCTCTTCTCGAAAATGAAATTGACCCATGACTCAAAATGCGCAAGAGAAATGCTATACTTCGTATTACACATATATCTAGTCGCTGTATGTTTTTTTGTAAATAATGTATGTTAACCCAATTACATTTTGTTGGTAATTATAAGACTTTAAATGTATAGTGATGATTGAGAGAAAGTTTTAAGGTGTAAAAATCATTAGTTGAAAATTATCTTTTCTTCGTAGTTTCTTCACTATAAGAGTATTATTAGCTATATTATGACCAATAATGAGTTTCGAACTCATCACCGTATCGGTTTTTGTGATGTAATGTAAAATATGTGGAGTGTGCGATATGTTGAGGTATGCAACACTCGCGACACCAATCATATAATGTATGCAACATGCTGTGTTCTGTCCCATTCTCATATTTATTTACAATATATATAATATCCTCAATAATAGACAAACAATTTCCATTTACGTGACATAAAAACAAAATGTGCTTCGCCCAACTAAACTCGAATATAAATAATTTACAAAAAAAAACAAACAAGTATTAGATCTAAATAAATTTGTTTAATCCCGTCGTTTGTGCGAGATGACTGCTTCAGTCTGCTCATCAGAGCTTTGGTCTTTGTCGCCCCAACCCCACAGCTCATGGGTGCCATCTCCAGTTCTTTTCACCCTCTTCTTGATCATCTCGGTGCTGACGCTCTTCAGATCGTAGGCCTGTCCGATGTAGGCCATGCAGTTGATGAAAATCGCAGTAGGATTAAGTCTGTATCCGTACTCCGAAGTCTTGTAATCCCATGGGAACGTGTGATGGTAGTTGTGCCATCCTTCGCCCAAGGCCAAGAAGGACACATGTTTATTCTCCACGGGGTTGATGAACCTGGAAAGAGAAAAGAGCGGTCAAGTAATTGCACAGTTGTGTGTTTTCTTTTAAAAATTATACCTATCGTATGGTTTGTCGCCGAAGAAATGCGCGGCGGAGTTTACCAGCCATGTAATGTTAAGGCCGCAGCAGTAGCGAAGCATGTTGATGAAGAAGGCGTTCAGGAAGGTTTCGCCCCATAAGTAGCAAGGCAAGAAAGTCGGAAGGAAGAAGCTCGTGAATACCATCAAGTAAACGTAGTGCTTATGCTGGAATTTCAGTAACGAATCTTCGGTGAGGTCGGAGTAATCGATGCCCTTGCCCTTGGCGAAGACTTCCGGGTGTTTCTTGGTCAAAAGCCATCCCACGTGCGAGTAGAAGAGACCGCGCTTCGCATTGTGCGGATCCGCGTCGGTTTCGCTGTACTTGTGATGCACTCTGTGATCTCTCGCCCATTCTATCACTGAGCCCTTTAGATAAATTAACACAATTGAAATACAATCTTAATAATAATAATAGTTGTAAATTACAGCTACATTTTTTGGAGATAGCTCCTATCGCTGATAAGCGACTAAATTTGCATCACAACTGTATACTAACTTGGAAAGCCAACGTTTGCAGAAAGACGAGGAAGGCCCTCAACGGAAATTTGGCTTTGTAAGATCGATGGGCCCATAACCTGTGCACGCCCGCTGTGATCCCCAAATTACCTAAATTCACCAAAGCCAAACCTGCAAGAAGAAAATTTCTACCTTAGCGCAAGAAAACAAATCAAAGTAAGCTATTGCGCAGGTGAACTTTTTGAAACATTTGAAACCGACCAAAAATAAGCACAAGAGCGAAAGCATCTTGGAGGGGGTCCAAAGTGTTACACAAGATCCAATTTATAACCACAGCGTTTCCATAGCAAAATCAATATGCAAACGACAAAAAAAAAACTATTTTTTGCTTGACGTTGCCTAGTTACCCTTATCAACTTATCCAGATAGCGTCTTGCTGCATACAGTATTTCATATTCCCCTGCTCGAGCGATAAGCATCGCATTATGTAAGTTAATCCCTTGATCCCAGTTTTCCAGCGTCGATAACATTTTTTTAAATCAAGTAATGACCTGTTACTGCTGCTCTATTGTTGTGACGTAACAACGTTATCTTAAATATTCTTCAAGCTTATCGTCGCTGCCCAAAAAATTAAAAAAAAAAACATAAAATTTACGTGCAGATACGTGTCACATTTATCAATAAAATTAATAATTTAAATACCGGTAAATTTGTATTGTTCAACGTAATTTTTAATGAATTACCGAAGGACGAAGACTTTTCGCACTTTAGACTACGTACTTTATAACTGATTTTCAAGTGTTTCGTGTTGACAACAAGAGGATGGAACATTCCTATTAATAGATTTGTTAAAACGAAATTAATTATATTATTAAAGCTACAAATTAAAAAAAAAATGAGAAAATGTTAATGTATTCGAAAAATTATGAATGAATTCACAAATTGACTTATTAATTAACACTAACAAATATCGAAAACAAAAATATGACATGATTTAAAGTTTGAATGAATATGAACTAAATAAACAATATTTTTCTATAATATTGTTTTAAATTTATTTGTAATTTGTAATAATAAAATTCACATTAAAATTGAATACGCAAGACCTATTTTTTCAAGTTTTAAAAAATGTAATGCATTTGTATTAATTTAGAAATATTGAATCGTTTTCAATAGAATCATTGATCCGAGACACTTGTTGCTTAACTTTCGTAAGTTATAGAGAGAATATTCGTTTGTTTTATTTCAAGAAGCTTCCGTGCCAAATATGTTAAATTTAGTTCTAAAATTAGATCACATTTCGAACAGACTTGATTATTAAATTTCTTTTGTTTACTAATTTTATTATATTTTCTTCTGAATTATTCAATTACGGAGATAAATACAGAGATCATAAATATTTTATTGGATGTGTAAAAGATAAATATTGTGTTTGTAGTATTTACTATATTTTCTTATTAGAAGTTTCTAAAACTATAAATTAGGATTGAGATAATAAGGATATTATCTAAGTAATTTGTGTTGTTATTAGTGTTATAAAAGATTGATATTGTTTGCAAATTTTATGTTTTCTTTTGTTCTTTTGTTGGAAGCTTCTGCGGCAAATGTAGTTATAAAAATAGGATCAAATAGAAACCGTTAAATGAGAATGTAAATGAAAAAAAAACTGAGTGTGCGTGTGTAATTAAGGTATGTAGGGTTAGGGTTAGTTTGTCTGATGTCATACCGAAAAGGGCGGTCCTCCAATTGGCCGAAGCGAAGATGGCATAGAGGCCGTAGAGTGCGGAGACGTGGAGGTAGATGTAGAGGATGATGTTCCTCCAGACGAGCTTGTATTCCCTGGGCGGCAATTTGGCGTTGCAGTCGTGTTTGATGGTGACCTCCTGGTCGTCGGTCTCCTGAAGGACGCCGGTCTCGGCCGTCATGGATGAGTTCGGGGCCATCCTTTAATCGATCCGGAAAAAGAAGGATGTGTAAAGAGAAAACCGTTCTAGCAACAAATGTCGATTGCGAACTGCCGGCTCGACTTCCTTCCTGACGCCAACGACTAGTACTGAATAAACGCGCCGAATACCTGTCTACCGCATATATACTACTACTACTAAAAGCGCGAGAGCGAGACTTTGCCAAATAGTATTTGCGACCACGTGGTTGTATATGTATGGTATGTTATCTTCGATATATTTTAATAGGACGATCCGAGCGAGCGTTGGAGTCGAAAAACCTTTTGGATTGGACGCAAAACCGTTTGAATCGGAAGAAGGATGAATTGGATTGCGTTCCGAGTACAATGACTGCGAGGATCTGCGCGCGCGAATATGTCATCAGATTTAGGATCACGCCACTCCGTCGCTCTCATTCTAATCCTTGCCGTTCGCTCGCTCCTTAAAATTCAATAACAAAAAAATAACACCTAATACAAACCATCGTAGGTTGTCAACTTTGACAACCTACATTTGTCAACTTTGACAACCTACATTTGTCAACAATATTTCCAACCGAGAAGAGAAGATGCATAAAACAATTCTTAACTGTCAAGATTTAAACTGCTTTGATGTAATCAACAAGGCACATGACTTTCACGTGCTAATCATCAAATTCAACAAATTTAAGAATAACAACCTTCAATGACGATTTCGTGCATTTTAACTTTTGTTTATATCAAGCGACAATTTGACTTTTAATTCATTGAAGTACAATCAATTGTTGCTTCAAAAACCTTTATATTTGACATATCACAATAGTTCACAATATTTTCTTTATAATTGACAACAATTTGACGTCCAATCAAGTAAAATCAATTGTTTATAAATTCTAATAATTAATTCTTCTGATTAGTTGAAAACAATCGTTTTTAATTTAAAAATAGAAACAATAAAGAAAAACATATTTTTTTCAGAAATAATTTCATTTAAAAATAAAATCCAATTTATTTACATGAAAATGAAATGAATATTCATTAAATACAATTTTTAATTTGCATAATTGACCTTCTCATTCACATTTATGAACAAACATTTTTTTTTTGATGACACATGTTAACACAGAACAATTGATTTTTTTTCCTATTATTTTTTTAAATGTAATTCAATCAAACATATTCAAAAGAAAAATGAATTTTTTACAAT